ATGATGGCCTGGTTGGTGACTCTGAGGTAGCCTTTTCCTCATGGCTAGACTGCAAAGAATTAAGGGGAAAGCCATGGAGATGCAAAAGGATGGTAGGTGGTTAAGAGACTCAACATCACCCATGATATGCTAGTATAGGTCAATTCCTCTAGAAAAGCAAAAGATACAATGCCGGAAGTCCTCAGTCCACCCATTCATAAGGCGGAAGACTCCAAAATTTGCTAATCCAAGAATGTGTACAGAATGAGACATACTAATCAAAAAACACACACTCCAAAATGAGTAATGACCACAGAAATCACACATATATTAACATGTAATGGATATTCTCATCAAATCCAATATGCACCAAGGCCCACTCAAAAATTTCAAGCTTGCAAAACTATACTAAGAAAATCTTTTTGGTAACCAATTTTTTTTTTTTTTTCAAAACTAAAGTAAACAGAGCCTTAATTTTGTAGGGTAAATTAAAAATATACCTTTGAGTTTGCTTAAAATACAATTTTTCTCTTATGATTTTAGAAATTACATCAGGCACCTTGAAATTATAATTTCATAGCAAATAACCCCTTTTATAAATAAATCATCAAGTCCATTAATAATTTTTATGATGTCAGAAATTTATTTCAATTAATAATTTAAGTAATTTTATTATTGTATAGGAGAGTAATTAATAATTTTATTTTTTCACTTAATTCTATTAAATAATAAATCTGACAAAGGGATACTTACAATTTTCAATCTACAGGAGACAATCCACATTTTAAACAAACTTTAGGATGTATTTATAATTTACCCAATTCCTTAAAACCATTTACCTCTTGTCTCAAGTTTTACTTTTCATCAAATTTGATGAATAAATAAATAATCATTTTTAATATTTTTATCTTTTTAAATTCTGATAAGTTCTTTATTTGATAAAAAAAATATATATATAAATAATATAAAGAAAAACTTCATTAATTTAATGAACCATTAATGAAGGATTATAAATATTTTTAACTAAATTTAAATTTGATAAATGAATCAAGTGAAAGATGAAAGTCATCTTTGGTTTGGTTTCCATAACTTATTTCATAATTTTTTTTCTAAAAATATAAAATTTAAATCGGTGAAAGAAATTAAAAAAAAAAATACTTCTTAATTTTATATTATTTTTTGTTTTAGGAGACCACAAATGATTATTAAAAATTTCAAAATATATTTTTGATTATTTTTATGAAAAATTTACCTATAAATCCCATCTTGAGGAATGGTGATCTATTTAGTCCTAAGAATTTTTTTGTAGACCAGTTAGTCTCATTGATTTTGGAAAGGTAAATTTAATATATTATTTAAAAATTAGATTTACGGTTATACCTTTATTTCTATTATGCTCCTTATCTTTTTTTTCTTTTGTGCTAGACAAGTAGGTACACAATATATGGAAATCAAATTCGAGATAAATTTTTATATAAAAATCTTTTTTATTTGGAAAACATTTCAAAAGGAATACAAAAATGACTTAAAATATGGGATTATTCAAACATTCCAAAAGGATGTAAGATTTTTCAAATATTTCAAAAGCAGTATAAAAACTACTTGGTAAGTTTTGGCCAAATGTATAATTTTTAACTGTAATACTCCAATGTAACACTTGATATAGGCCGAAAGGCACCACATTGAGGCTGCTTAAATTACATTTATAGTTTTTGAATTTTATTTATTTGATGGAATGATGTTTTTGTGCACTTGTATAGATTTAGCAGGCAACACATAAATTCAAGCAAAAAGTGTAACGCCCCAATTTCCAGGTCGTTAAATACGCACAATAATACAACACAAGTAGGATAGATGACCAAAATATCTTAATATACATATATAACCAGTGTTAATATCACAGATAATTTGTTTATATTCCGTTACAGGATTACCAAAACATTGCCAAACCAAAAGTCAAAAGGAAAAAAAAAAAAACTAGTCTAAGTCTTCAAATGAACCACAGTTCCAACACTTCATCTCATTTGCCTTCGAAATAACCTTCACCATTGTAAACTGCTTCGTCACCTGGCATGACACCCCATGGGCTTGGAATGCCCAGTAAAAACACACACATCCCCATATCTTCTATCAACCAATAAACCATACACAAAACAAATCGAAATACATAACATACTTACAATAAGGTTTTACGAATTAGTAGTTAGACTAGGCATCTGGAATCCCCCAAAGAGATCCTTCTACCCAACCACACGGATTGAACACCGGACTATTCAGAACTCCCCATTTTGCTGCTTTGCAGACCTTACCACCTATGCTCACCTCCTGGTTATTTACCAGTCAGTGACATTGATGGACCTCAAAAGGGACGGCCAAACAAGTGGGCTCGCTTACACCCAAATCGTGCTCCCTTACACCCTGCACATAACATACCATACCAAAGGGCTCACTTACACCCCGAAACCACCGCATAGGAGTCTGAATACATCCATGTCAACCTAGGGGCTCGCTTAGACCGCTTGCGCAAGACTTAACTCATTTGGTTTTAATCCCATCATAATTCATGCCATTCATATGTATAAATTATTCCAACACTAATGTGAACATCACCCATTGTCAACCCCTCATCATTTCCCGTTTATTGGATCTTTTGCCAAGCAAGTTAGTCACATTCGGTAATTCGGTAATATAAAAGAGCATGAGACAAACATAAGAGAAGAAATATAGCCCAT